GTGGTTTGGGCAATGCAGAAATGTTTTATTTTTATGTCATTGAATATTTCTGTCTTTTGTTTTATGGCTTCTGGGTTTAGGGTTATATTTAGAAAAGGTTTCCCCCTCTGATACTATTATATTTTTTTAAAACTTACTTGTTTTCTTTGAGTATTTTTAAGTTTTCTTTTTATGTTTGGATTTCTGATCCATTTGGGATTTTTTTGGTGTTAAGAGGAGGAAGGGATCCAATTTCCTTTTTTCAGAACGGCTACCCTCTTCATCCCAATCCCAATTACTCAGTGACCTGTCCATCCCTATTAATGTGCAGTGACACCCTTCTTACACGCTAATGTCCGTCTCTTCAGGTCCATTCCGGGTTTCTTTTCAGTTCCCCTGGTCTGTCCCACAGAGCTTAGGATCCCACAGCTTCCAAACACAGGGTAAAACCTGCCCTGGTTACCAGCCGCCCATCATTCCTCTGTTTTGGAATTTCCTCGGTTCTTGCAGGCCTGTCTTTCCTTCTGAACTTTAAAATCAGCTTTTCATTTCTAAACCAATCCTATGTCCCTTTCATTGGCTAAGGTTAAGTTAATGGGTTAATTAAGGGGACATCAACGTATTTATTGATCTTTCCACCCAAGGATAAGGTCTGCCTTTTCACTTATTTAAATGTCTTCTGTGTCCACCGGTGATAGGCTCTGTGTCCCCTCCAAACACTGGAACATTTCTTCCCGGATTGGCTCCCTGGTCTGCATCCATTCTGTGGCTCCTGGAAGCAGCACCCGTGCTTGGTCCATGTTTTCTAGCGGATGCTGTTTGCATGCAGGGGAGCGCTTCATGTGGGGTATTAATTGGGCTCGAGCCCCCAGGCCTTTTTGCACGGCGAGCTGTCGGCTGACACCCGGGCACTGTGTACACGCTCAGTGGGCAGAAGGCACTGGCACCCTGCACCTGTGCACTTGGCAGAACATCGCCCAGTGGCTGGCCCGCGCCCGCTCTGTTTTGCCAAAATGGAACCAGTACGAGGGGCACCCTAAGCAGTAGGCAGGGAGGGCCCCCACCCCCCACCCACGCTGCCGGAGCTGGAAAGGGCCTGAGCCGGCACACAAAGCAAGCTCCAGCCAGCTGCAGACAGGAACGAGGCTGGTAGAGGTGCCAGCCTCCACGAGCCCCAGCCCTGTAATTAGGGCCCACAGGTCACTCTGGCCACAGCTGAATAAACCACAGTGTAATTAGCTTCCCACCCAGTTCTTTACGCAGCAGCATTTCGCCTCTGCCAGAGAAGGAGGGTCTGTCCTTCCTAAGGGGCTGGCGACACGCTCCCTGGTCGCAGTCCTAGGGAAGGCAGGGCAGCCAAGGGCTGAGCCTCGAAATAAAGCCATAGGGAGCTTTTTTCTTTTTTTTGCTGTCACTATTTGAACAAATTCCCCTCCTCTTATATTTTTTTAACTTGAGCATTCAGAAAAGCTGTGTCCGTCTGGAGTTTAGTTTGAAATTGCCCTCCATCCCTGATTCTTATGGAGCAACCACTGTCCCCCACCCCACCACGGCCGCCACATTAAGAACCCGGAGGTCGCTCTGCTAAGGAAGTTCTAAAGAACCACGTTCAAGATCGCCCCACACCCCTCCACACAGCCTCTTCCCAACATGCCCTTCCCCACACCTGCCTGGGAGAGGGGTGCCTCCACATTCCTGGGCGACAGCCCTCTGCAGGGGACTAGGAGCAGACAGCAGGAGTCACAGGTGTCACTGCCCTCAGGCCCCAGATTCTCAACAGCAGAGACGCAGAAATATCAGCACACCATGGTCCTCCCTGGAGTAATCTCGGTTGGGCCATCAAGTGTCCCTCCAGAGTGGCCTCCATGGGGACAGCAGTGCCTGTCCCTAGAACTGTTACTGGATGGCCAATGCTGAGCCCCCAGCAGACCCATGAGCCTGGCCTGGGAGCACCTGCTCTTGCATTTTTGTAGCCGGTCCAAACTTTTAAAGCAGAAGCCCATTTTCAAATATCTTACGCTAAGGGTATAAAACAGACCTTTAAGTAGTGGGTGTCAGAGCCCCCTCTGGGGACAGAGTTTGAGAACCACCACACGACCAAAAAGTATTACCCACTATGGATAATACGCATGCAATTCCCTGTCACTGGGTAACCCTGAGAACCTACGACCCAGGGGGAAATAACTCCTCCCCTATCTCTTCATGTCAGGGACACTCTCCCACACTGGGTGACACCTGTACTGGGTGGTAATGAATTTCTCAGGGATGCTATTCGGCAAGGTCATTTCCCATACCCTTTCCAGGAATTTCTTACTCCCTTCCAGTGCTCCAGGGTGGGAAATATCCTAGCTCCCATGTCCCTGTGGAGGTCGTTAATGGGATCCTGTTAGGGAGCGAGCAGTAGTTTCAGTGGACACCCCAGCATCGCTAGGGATGGCAGGATTCCCTGCACCCGGGGCTGCCATGATTTCAGCGAAAGTCTGGCTTAGAGAGGAGAGACAGCCACTGGGAAGAAAATCCTGCCCAGGACGGAACAAAGCATAGTTAATTTCCAGCACAAACCTCCATATATAGCCCCAAAGTTCCATGTCTTCCCTTCTCCACCTAGAAATGCCACCAATCTCAAAAGTGTGACGGGAGACATAAAAATCCCCTCAATTCTGAGAAAAGGAGGGAGGGGCACAGAGCCATGCTGGGGAAGGGCCTCAGGGCAATGGCTGCAGATCAACAAAGCTGGGCTTAATGGGGGTCCTCAGAGGAATAAAGAGAATGGCTTTTCGCTAGAAGATCAATTCATTGGTTGTTTTAAAAGTAAGTTACAATATTTAATTCTCTTACAGGTTAGATTCCACCTCAGGTCCTGGCTAAATAAAGAAATACACCAGCATCTATGACATTCTTGAGCAGAATGGAGTCCACGGCCTAGAGTCCTGAAGAGGTCCTGGCTTGGCCACCAAATCTCTATGTGACCTTGGTCAAGCAATCACCTTTCCCTCTCAGTGCCTCAGTAGTCTAAGATCATATGTCGGCCATTGCCTCTACCTGTGGTTGAACTATCACAAATTCCAAATGACTGGGGTTTGATTTGCTGAGCCCTCAAAAGTCCAAACCTGTAAGAGTCCTCTTGAGTGCATTGCTTTGGGGTATCTGTTCCCTTCAGAGGTTGAGAATGGGCACTTGGTCTAGCCAGGGCTGTGCAGGTATGAATGTCATTTGAGGGAAAGTTATAGCAGTTCCCCAAACACTTGGCTTTCAAACTTCCGAGATGGTATGAAAAGTAGGAAAAGTGAGAGCTTTGAGTCCCAACCTACTTCTTAACCAGCAAATTTCCCCCCCAAAACAGGTGACAAGTCCCCTTTAGAATACTCATCTGAGATTTTAGGTCCTTTCCCCATAAACACTCATCCAAGATATTTCCATCCAACAATCACAATGGAAGAAGATGTCTGGGGATAGCTGTGTAATGAACACAGATGCTCCAAACTCAGAGCCCTGTAGCATGACTGCCTTGGAGTGTGGACTCCAAGGAATACACATGCCACCATCCCACATCCCACACACACCCCCACCCTTGTGTCCCAGACACACAGTCACACAGAACTTGTGAAGTCTTAAATCACTCCTGTAAAACACTGGCCTTGCCCACCTTTTCAGAGGCACTGAGGAAACAGGGAACAGGACTACCATCTGGTGCAGCAGCAACCAGCCACTCAGACAAGCAGGAGGCCAAGCATGGAGGCGAAACCCGGTCTCTTTCCGCACAGGCTCTTCTTGGCCTGTGAACTTGTCCCCATCCCACCACAAGCCCTGCCTCAAAGCTCATCCTTCATGCAGCTCTCCACACTTAAGCTGCTTAACTGCGTACTAACAACCTCTTAATTGCTGGGTTTCCAAAAGGCCTTCCAGAAATCTGGGCTGCAGATCCAAGTACTACGGAGTACGGACTGGGGGAGCAGAGAGGCAGAGCCTCCCCCCTGTTCCCGCCGGCCAGAAAGCTGTCGCTTTTATTTTTAATTATTTAAAAGGCGAATGCAGGGTACCCAAGACACCACAATAAAATGACATTAACTGTAAAATTACATTATTAATTCTTTAATCTCACTTGAGGCTTCAAGCTGTTGCTATGTCCAATTACCCGCGTAACCACCTGTCAGAGCCCGGCGCTGTTTAGCGTACCTCCAGGACAGCGGTGGGCCCGGTGGTCCGTCAGGTCTGCCAGAGACTCGAAGTCCTGCTGACAGTGATCACAGGTGTAAATAGACTCATCCTCCATGTCTTCATCGTCCTCATTTCTCTCCTCTTGACTTGTCACGCTGTTCCTGTCCTCCAGCGCCCGGCTGGCCTTCTGGTCACACTCGGGCTCTCCTTCCAGGCCTCCTGCCAACAGGAAGAATACAGTCCACGTGAGCTGACGGGGTCTCGGGAAAGGGTTTGAAAAGAATCGCCCAGCATTTATTAAGATACATTTAATTACTCTACCTCCCAGGGTCCCTTATTCTGGACACCTCTCGGTATATTAATATATGGGGGGGGGCGGCGTTGCAGCATGTGGTGCTGTAATTCTCAACTAGATGCTTTAATTCTTGGTGCAAATCTTCTATGGGGATTTCCTGTCACTTTCCCTCTGTGCATGGATGCTGGGGGTTGTGACCCATCAGAGAGGTGACAGTGCCTTAGCATTTGTCTCCTAAAACCTCATTCTCTTACACATTGCTCCAGAGCCCCC